GATTTCAACAGCTGGAATACCATCTGGGCCTCAACAGTGAACAACACTCGCGGGACTGTTTTAGAAAAGGCCTTTTTTCAAAGCAACCTTTGCGTTTTAAATTATGGAAAACCAACGCACTTCTCAACTCATCATACTTTTTCACATATTGATTTAACATGTTGCTCTCCATCACTTCTTCCTTTGGTGTCCTGGTCTATTTCTGATGATCTACATAATAGTGATCACTTTCCAATCATAATCGATCTTAAACTTTCAACGTCCTCTGCTACTCCAGCAAAACAGGCCAAATTCCTTCCAGATAAAGCGGATTGGATCAATTACTCCAAACAGGTGGAGTCATTTTTGAACTCAAAGCCATTTAACGGAAACTGCAACCATGATGCTGCTATTATGTCTAAATCGATTCGCACGGTTGCTCATCTTTCTATTCCTCAATCCAACACCTCTTTTAAACGAGCTAGGGTTCCATGGTGGAACAACACGCTTTCGTTTTTGAGGGAAAATAAAATGGATCTATGGCACCGCTTTAAGAGATGTCCTGATCAAAATCACTTGTTATTATACAAAAAGGCCAATGCTCTATTCAGGAAGGAATTACGGAAATCAAAGGCACTTAGTTTCGAACTTTTCTCGAGACGAATTCACAGAAATACATCAATGAAAGTTGTCTGGAACAAAATCACCAGACTTAATGGGACTTCAAACCTGAACCAAATTTCTGCCATCTGCACTCCCAATGGAACTTTAACTGACGCAGATGAGATTTCTAATTTCTTTGGAAAAGTGTGGTGCGAATACTCCTCTGACAGCAACTTCTCCAGTGCTTTCATTGAAAATAAAAGGACTCCAATATCTCCTTCAAATAATATACGCCATGTTCCTGGAAAATAGCGTATCTACCTCAGAACTTGGAAGTTGTCTCTCCAATTTGAAGGGGAAGATACCTGGTCTAGACCGCATCTCATACCAAATGATCAGTGCTATGTCTAAGTCTAGTAAAAAGAAATTACTGGACCTATATAATACGGTATTTATGACTGGCCATATACCCTACATGTGGAAAATGGCAACTGTTGTTCCAATTCCAAAGTCAAAAAATGTCTCCATCGCATGTGATTATCGCCCAATTTCTCTTTTATCTTGCCTTTCTAAGGTTTTAGAGAAGATTATGGCATGTAGATTATCTTGGTTTCTTGAATCCAAGAACCTGATAACAAAGCAACAAGTTGGTTTCAAGCGGGGTAGAGGATGCATCGACGCTCTGTTACATATTGATTATTTCACAAGCAAAGCAATTTCCGAACGAAATCACGTAACAATTCTCTCAATTGATTTCAAAAAAGCATTTGACAGAGTTGGTCTTCATGTTATCTTAAGACTCTTGAAATCATGGAATGTTGGACCCAAATTCTTCAACTACATCAAATCATTCATGTCGCATCGGCGGTTCAAAGTTAGAATCAACAATCATCTTTCTGATTCCTTTCGGCTAAAGAATGGCATTCCGCAAGGATCTCCTCTCTCTGTCACGCTTTTCCAGATCGCTTTCAACGAAATTAGCGAAATTCTTTGCCGTGTACCAAGAGTGGAACATTGTCTCTACGCGGACGATGTATACATTTTTACAAAAGAAAAAGACAACTCGAAAGCAATCAACATCCTCGAATCTATTGCATGTGAGATCTCCACATGGGTAAACTCGTCAGGAGCTATATTCTCTATACAAAAATCAAAAAAAATGCACATTTGTCGAAAACAAATGTGCGATGCAGGAAACCTACTGATGCATATTATCGGCTTACCAGTACTAAATGTGCAGACGCTCCATGTTCTCGGGCTCACGTTTTCAAACAATTATCGTTGGAAAGCACACTGCCTTCGTTTAAAAAACTCCCTTTTAACAAGGGTAAATTTCATACAGTACGTTGCTTGGAGAAGCCATGCGCATATTAACACTATCGCTTATCTTACCAAAATGCTTGTGTTAAGCAAGATTGACTATGCTTTGATAATTTATGGCAATAGTTGCAGATCTAATATCAACATCCTTAAACCGGTCTATCACCAAGCCGTTAGAGCAAGTTGTTATGCTTTTCGGACGACGCCCATAAATAATATTTTAATTGAAACTGGTCTCCCAACCTTAGAAAATAGACTGTATGAGTTAAAAGCTAAAATAGTCCCTAAGCTTCTTAATTCAAACAAATCCATTCTCGGTGATGACGTAAGAAAGATTATTATTCCGAAGAAAATTCCAAAGTCACCATCTGCAATTGACCATTGTTTGTGCATCGCAAAGGAATTGAACATTCCCTTAAAAATTTCCCGCTCTTTTGGTGTTAAACCTCCCTGGATTTTGAAAGACTGCTCTTTTGATATCTCACTGTCTATGCACAAGAAAGAAGATACTCCAAATTACGTCTTCAGGAATCTAATAGCTGAGAAAACCCAAGTATTGGACAATACTGGTTGGAATCTTCTGCACACAGACGGCTCAAAATCTCCTGGTCTGCCTCCTGCTTGTGCGGTGGTAGGTGCTACAGAACGGGTTCTTCTCAACCACATATTTCACGAAAGCACTTCAACTTTCATAACCGAAGCCAGAGCTATCCTTCACGCTGCCAACCTTGCCCATAAAAACAAACTCAAAACCGTCATTGTTACTGACAGTTTGTCTGTATTACTAGCTACCCGGAACCCTTCGACTTCGAGATGGAGCACCATCAACAAATTAAGGAATATAATTACTACACCCGACGGAAAAATTAAAATGTTATGGGTACCAAGTCACATCGGTTTACTGGGAAATGAGCAGGCTGATCGAGCGGCAAAGTATGCTGCTTCTGCTCTTCTAATTATGGATGATGTCATGCAAAAGTTGGATCTTCAAAGATACATTGGAAGAAAAGTTAAAGAGAAAATTGCAGAAGGAAATTTACAATACCATCATCAACACTACTCTTGCATTAACCCTCAATTAACTCCACCTCTATATCCAACAAATGTTGAGAAAACCAAGATCCAAACATTTTCGAGAATACGCCTTGGTCATACAATTGCAACTCACCAATGGATCCTGAAGAAGTCTTCTCCCCCAATCTGCTGTTGTGGACAAACTCTTACTATAAAGCACATTCTCTGCGACTGCCTCAACTTTTCCTTGGCTAGAAGTATTGCGTTTGGAACGATTAACCTTTTGTACATTCTACAATGAACTTCAGAACAGAATATCAATTCAATATTTTACTTTCTTAATACTACTAAGCTTATTATCTAATATCCATTTATTTAAATTAGAGCCGATAGCCTGTGTTGCTAGTGCTCAATGTCTCTTTTTTTAGTCTAAGAATTCAATTCATTAGTCTAAAATTAAAATAATAATAATAAAACGAGGAAGAAGAAAAATAAAGAGGAATAAAGAAAAAAGAATTGATAATTAAATCTCAAAAGACGAAAAACCACATAAGGCAAACAAATAAGAAAAAAGCAGTACAAAGTCAGAATATTGCGTGTTTTTAATTCTTAAGCGATAAAATTGCCTTCAACAGTAACGAATTGAAGAGTTGAGTGTGTTGGTAGAATGTACCAAGCAAAGCGCATCGCATTCGTGTACGAATATATTTTTTTTAAATATCATTGACGGAATTGGTACGAAAACAAAAAAAAAGTAAAAATAAATGAAATAAAAATATATCTATATAAATAACAAAAAATTATGGAAATTTTGCACAAAGAATAAAAAAAAGGTGATATTAAAGTGTGTGTGTTGTTCATTTTCATTACTTTGCCTGCATTGAGCAAATAATGCAATTATAATGAAAGAGAAGCAAAAAAAACGTTGGAGAAGTACAATTTAAGGTGACGGAAGCTCGCCTTGTTTTCTCGATTTCAATGTAAAGCAAAGAAATCTTTTCATTGTCTGCAATAGCACATACATACATATGAAGATTGATTCAAGAAAACAACTTTACTAACAAAAGTCAAACTCTAGACATAAATTTTTTTTTACATACCTAAAAGCCATGCATACGAATAATTATCAAAAAAAGATTCAACCATTGTACTTTATAAACAAGCCTAGAAGAAATCGAAAGCAACAAAAAGGTAAACAATTGAAAGCAATTGAAAGAATAAAACAAAAAACAATATTAACAAAAACTTAACCAGTATCGGCACTGCAAAAGAAAAAAACGAAATTATAAATTAGAAAAATTGTATAACTTTGTTTTTTTTGCTTTTATATCAAACCTTTCAAAAAAAAAAGGAAAATAAAAACGGTGAAGAATATTTGAAGGCTGGGAAGTGTGTTTTTTTGTGACATCAGATGACTTGGTTTAGAAAATGGTAAACTTTCGCTCAAATTAAAGGTGGAAAAGAACCCTGTTGGATTCACTTGATTGATGGAAGTGGTGATTTTTGTGTGCACAGCCTCAAGATAAAAATTCCCTACAAGCGGCTTGCCATTGAGTCTGTTTGAAAATTTATATACGCCACATCTCATTGACAGCGAATACCAGAGATCAACAGCGACCAGCACAGAGGCCGTCAGCACTACAGAAGGGAGGACGACGTCGTTTGGAAAAGATAACGCATGCTAGTCAGGTATTTACCTTTCCCTTTTTCTGTGTCCAGAGTTTCCTGGGATCCACAATGAGCGGCTAAGGCCGAATATGCCCCGACAGTAGCAGGAGTGCGATGTAGGGGGGGTGCACGCGTAGGGGAACCGCACGGGGACATAGGACGGATAAAGACGAACTCACTCTAGACAGACGACTGACAGGCTATCGACGTAAAACCTTTTCTCTTTTTGTGTGTTTTTTTTCTTTTTCTTTGTCATGCGGCTCAGAAAGCTAAGCTCCATCAATTAAATCTCTCCACCGGCCAGCGGAGCTAGACCTATGAAAAGATATTATTTCTCAAAGCACAAAACAATTATCCAGAATAGTCTGAATCCTGACGTTTCATAGTAAGATTTTGACTATGTTTCGCGATACACATAAAATGTGAAACATTCCACGGTTTTGCGTCTGAACCTTGCGAAGATGCAATGCTGATCTCTGTATCGTTTTAACTTTAGCATATATCCGCCTGAGTAGCCGAAGGGGAGGAATCTCGACTAGCAAGTCAATGGTCGTGGGTTCGAATCTCAAGTGCGGTAGAGTTTTTAATAAAAAGCCGATAGCCTTAGATGCTAGTGCTTTTAAGAGTTTAGTCTCAGAATTTATTTCTCTGGCGAAATTAATAATAATAATAATAATAATAACTTTAGCATATTTTTTGCCGTCGCAAGAACTTTTGCAAAATAACATATTCTATAAATCAATTTTTCAAAACATAATATAAAAAAGATTTAATATAATACAATGTAAATAGAACACTTGAAAAGTAACTTTTAAAAATAGTATAACTCGTTTTTGTTCTTCTTTTACATTTTTTTCTGTTACAATTATATTCTAGTAATTTCTTTCGTCGTTTACACATCAACATAAAAGACCAAATGATTTGCTAACCACCGCAATTCCTAGTAAGCATTGAAAATATATCTGTGCGCGTGTGATTTTTTTTTCTGCTTTATGAAACCGCCGGGATAGCGCTATATATACATTTAGTTGTGAAGTTTGTATTGCGGAAACTCTGGGCAGCTACAAAAAGAAAAGATTTTCTTACATTAAAAAAAACTTGTAGAGGCAACTCGTAGCAAAATTCGATTACCAAGTTCGATAACAACTCTCGCCTAAGTAACTTCTTTGAGTAAGGAAAGCAATCAAAACTAAACAAGCAGTTTTATTATTTTATAAAGTTAAATTAAACTCTTTATGCTATCGTTGATGCAAACACAACCAGCTTCGGCATATAACTTAACTAAGAAAAAGTTAGAGAAAAATTTCGTAACAAATAAACTCAACAAAATCCAAAAAATGGACGCAAAGAATCAAAAAATAATAAAAATTCATCATAGTATTTGGGCTAATCATCTACCGGTCTAGTTCATTCATTTAAAAAAATCAAAAAAAAGTGAATAAATAAATTACTTGACATTAAAATATAAGTGGAAATTAAACATGTGTTCGGATATATGACGAGTTAAACGTATCTATCTAAAAAAGGTCAGCATCTTTGACTAATAACACGCATATTAAATTAAATGTTTGCAATGCGTGCGTGGCTTAACAAAGGTATCGTTTTCTATCATTCAACTGTCGCATTGTCTTTGCGATAATCTATCTGCATTTATTTATAAATCTACGTTTCATTCTAGTGTCTTATTCAAAGGTCTATAAAAGCTTTTCATTTTGAAATATCAGTTGCATGAAGTTGAGGGCAAAAGCAAGCTAATCAAAAAATGCGCAAGCATTGCTGTTGATGTTCCCGCGTTATATCATTGCAACTATTATGAAAGACTTAAATTTGAACACTAGCCGGATCCTACATGCATGCTGTCAGAAAATCACTTTTAGCTGTTTCAAGTCTGTTCCGAGTCAACCAATACATCATTCACATTATTGCCGCCATCATAAGGGTTTTAAAACGTTTAGGGTAATCGATATGGCAGTTCACAACGTTAACTTGCGGTGAGAGCAATTGAACCCATTGCTTATAATCGGCGTTTTAAGCATATAAATAGCGATTGCTGAATTGCGTATACATTCGATGCGACTCAGTCCTATAAACTTTTTACGCACATTGCAAATCCTTCATAAGTGCCATAAAATTGAACAGCTTCACGGAAGGAAGTAACCTAAAACGCTGCCAATGGCTATTAGGCTGGATTGGAGTGTGATAAAAAAAACGTGAGTTTAGTGAAAAAAGACCGAAATAAGATTCATATTGACGATGAGTCAAAACTAAAAAAAAGCGATATATGTAATCTGCAACAACATGCGAGAAACACTGTAACAACAAGCGGAGTGAAAAATGAAAAATTAAGGTTAGCGTTCAATATTTGTTAAAGATCTAGAGTAGTTTATTTGAAATTTTTGGTATTTTCAGATACGAGAATATATTGTGATCGAAAGTAAATATGGGAAACTCCTGCTTTCACGGGTTTATTAATCTTCTAAAAAATCTTCATAATATAATTGATACATTAGACGGGCAGAGGATTGAACCAATTTCTTATCTTTGAGGTTGCACTATCGTTAACCTGCGTAGATATTGGGTAGTCTGTAACTGCGCTTAGTGCCGTGCATAGTCAGCAATCTTTTCTTGCAAATTCAACGAAATACGGACCCAAAACATGTCCTTAAAACTTCCAAACAACTTAAATAATTCCTGAATTAATGGCTAGTAATCGATAACAATTTTTGAAGTTTATATCGTCGGCAATATTTTTAGTGAACACCGATTCCTACAACGACTGTTTGCAGCTTAAAGGTAATCCCTTTCATATTATTTATTTAGATATGATTTCAATAAGCCTAATATTCCTGAAATTAACGGAAGGTAAAAATTTATTAAGGAAAATTTGAGTACAGAAATTAAAAGAACAAATGAATAATCTTTACAGACGCATTAAAATTCGTCCCGTACATAACAATGGCAATTAATTTCTAGTTATTATCTAAAAAAGTGCTTAATTATGTTGAACAAACCAAGACGCTATGTTTATGCATTGTAAGTTATGGGTGAATTGTCAGAGAGCTGTTCGTTTAGTAAACAAAATAGAAATTTACAATTGATTAAACAGAAGCGGGAACATGTTATCGAACCTTAGTGGTAAGTCTTCTTGAATTATAGGATTTGCGACGCATAAAAGCAAATTAATCGTTATCGCTTTATTAGCACAAATACACTTTTTTTACCTCTGTGTTAAAGACTTGAGGAGTTTGATTTCAATCCGTAATTCCTCTTTTTATCGTTAGGCGAGCAATATAGCTTCGGCAATAATGTTGTTAATTCGCACTGGTCCTAGCAATAGATTCTCGTAATAGAAGTCACATTAATTTTTTAAATGATTATTAATGCGAGAAGTAGTAATATTGATTGATAATATTAGTACCTTATGTGCTAGTTTGCTTTAGTATTTAAACTACTTCGTCAATTGTAAATTTATCATGGATTCTATTAGGAAGAAATGGTTGTTGTTACGGTTAAGGATTTTTCATTAATGTTGATCGTAAATCTATGTAGTTGTTACTATTGCTGTCTACAACTTATCTGCCCTTATTTCTAGACCGGTAGTGAACGAAAACCCTTATAGTGCGATTCTGGAAGTTTGTTTTTGTTATAATAGCAGAATGTCTAAGAAATATGTAGCATCATATGTAACAGCAACAGAACTGGAATTTCAGGTATATAAGGATTGACTGCATGAAAGTTTTCAATCTATAATGTTTTACAAAACTGTGAAAATTCATTCTTAACCAATATCGCAGCTTATTTTGAAATTAAAAAGCATCTAAAGTATATTCAGAAAAAGGAATTCTAAATCTTCTAATACTTATGCACTGTTGCAAAAGTACTTGTGGTTAAGAGTGTGTATACAATAGGTACGGAGCTCAAAAGCCTTGTAGTTGTAGCCTCCCCTTTTGTAGGTCAATATAAATAATTAAATAAAGATTCATTATTCTTTTAGATTTAACAAACGTCAGCTTGCCAACGAGTTGTTTGGTCTCCTGCATATAAATAATCTTATGAATAAAGATAAGATTTCGTACCTTAAATCTGACTCAAAATATATATGGAAATATAGCGTCATATTTCCTCTTGTTGAACGCAAATCTAGCATAATTGTTTAAGGTTGACTCTCATTTACTTTTAGAACTATAACCCTAAAGCAGAATTGCAGGAATATACCTTCGAACTGCGGCTGACATAAGAGGGTCTATAACACATAAGATGGGCTTCAACTTTCTTTCACCAGGTCTATAGAAAGTTCAAACCTGTAACACTCTTCAAAGGTTACAAAGTTGTGTTATGCATCCCACAAGTGCGTTCAATCCCAAACCATGACTCAAAACATATTCCGTTACTACCCCGGGTAGGCAAATACCGCCTAGTGCGCCCTGCGGTGCAGCACCAGCTTTTCTAAATTAAACATAGGTTGTTTTCATTAGACCAATAGACAATATTGCGTGGATTACTATTTATTCGTTTGGCGAGGTCGTCAAAAAGAAGCAACGACCATGAAAAATATATTTGTGCATCATCAGCACGTAGATAACTTTTCGCATTGTAATGAGAAGCTGTCAAATCATTAATAAATGCACTAAGCAAAACTGACCCTAATATTGAATACGAATGTAATTCCTTCTTTTTCTTCAACAATCTAATTTATTAAACATTAGACTAATTTTTAATATAATTTTCGTAAAACTTCTTTGCACCTTTAGAAAATTTTTCTGAGAATAAACAAAGAATTATTAAGGGTGTGAAGTTATATTTAAATTTAAGTAGCGAAGACACAAACCAAAAATGTTAACAGAGCTCTGTTAAGCCGTTAACAGAGCCTTGTTAAATGGAGTCTCGGAGAGATTTAAGGCAAAACTTAATTAAAGTAACACTTTTTCAAGTTTTTTTTTTTAGATATTATAAAAAAAAGCGACTTTATCTTAATTAATTAAAACTTGGTATAAAAAAGTCTTTTTACTATGTCAAAAACAAGGCTGAAAAAGTGAAACTTTACTTAACCACTGTAAGCAAACCAAGTGCTGTGGCTAAACGAATCTAATATCCCGTCAATCCCCTATCAATGACCTTTCCAACGGTGTACCACATTTATGGAGTTTCCTTGGGAAAAATTTTTTATGACATTTTGAAAATTTGTTCTACTTAGTCATAACATAGTGAAATTTGAAAGTCACTGTGACCAAACCAAGTGCTGTGGCCAAAGGAACCTAATATCACGTGAATCCTCTATCAATGACCTTTCCAACGGTGTATAACATTTATGGAGTTTCCTTGGGAAAAATTTTTTATGACATTTTGAAAATTTGTTCTACTTAGTCATAACATAGTGAAATTTGAAAAGTCACTGTGACCAAACCAAGTGCTGTGGCCAAATGAACCTAATATCACGTGAATCCTCTATCAATGACCTTTCCAACGGTGTATAACATTTATGGAGTTTCCTTGGAAAAAATTTTTTATGACACTTTAAAAATTTGTTCTACTTAGCCATAACATAGCAAACTTTTGAAATGTCACTGTGACCAAACCAAGTGCTGTGGCTAAAGGAACCTAATATCCCGTGAATCCTCTATCACTGACCTTTCCAACTGTGTATTATAGTTATGAACAGTTCGCGAAAAAATTAATAGATTGTGTCGTCTATGTTAGTTAAATTTAAATATAACTTCACACTTTAACATAGCTGCTCTTACATATTGTTTGTAAACTTTGAATGTTCTCTTTTTTGCATCATGTTCCAAAACAATGTGTCATGAAACTCTTTTTCTTTTTCCTCGCCGCCGAGGATTTAAAAATTTTTCTTTAGACAAAGAAAAAAAAATAAATAAAATAAAAATAAAAAAAAATGAAATAATAAAAAAAACAAACTAAATGAACGAAAAGGTCTGGTCAGTTTCCGGCTGTGCGTCTGTCGCCAGTGGGTCAGTCGGTCATCGTCTAGCGTCGGCCCTACATGGCCACCATGTGCACGCCCCTACACCTCAGCCACAGCGGTGGCAGCGCACGCTTAGCCACACATGGGTAACAACAAAATCGGATAGCTTAAAAGAAAAGGTAACATAACTTACAGTACAAGCAAGGTGGTGGTGTTCGTTTACTTGGTGAATATTACTGCTTTCACGGTCGGCTGCAGCTATCCCAATGCTCCCGATAAGTTGTTGCTGTTGTTGTTGCTTCTGCCTTCAATTTTATTACTTCCCTCTGATTCGTTGCTGGTGGTGTAACAAGGTGAAGGTGACTGCTTCACTGGCTGCCGAATAAATTTATGCATAGTAGTTTATGAAGTCACTTCTCTGCATCCATGCACATAAAAGCTGCGATAAATCTTCAGAACTTTGTTGTAATGATTTTTACAAATTCGTTGTGCAATTGCACATGTTCATCTCATTAAGCTTATTTTTCATGCTTCAACCATTCACGGCACCAATCATCTTCGATTCCTTTGATTTTTAGTTCAGTTTTCTTTAAAAATTGAAATGTTCTTGTGGCAAAAATTCATAAACCAATTAAAAGCCTTCTTTTTTTGTTTCTCGCATTTATCCATTTATTTGTTTATTTTTTTTTTTTTTTTTTCAAATATCTTATTCTTCGCGAACATTAGTATTTCCTACGTTAATATGCTTTGTATTTATAATATTAATATCGACAACAATAAGTATATTTAATTTTTATCAATCATATATTCAACTGTTCATTGTGGGTTAATGGGTTTTTCCATTTCGATTTCGTTGTTTTTTCTTTTGATTTTATTCCCAAGTTGGTCTGTTTTAACTCAAACCACACAACGAAATGTTTGAAAGTACTTCTATTTTTTATTAACTATAAATTTTTTTGTTAACAATAATAAATAGATTTTAATTAATCAATTACATGTGTAAGTGTTCATTGGGTGTTAATGGTTTTCTTTTTTTTTTCTCAGTATCACATGGGTTTACGTGTATTATTTGCACAGGCTCTCGCGATAAGCATCTCTAACTAACTTTATATGCGACAGCTGTACCCGTTCAATGGATAAAAAAACGACAAGAACTGCACTCAGCGAGTGCCTGACTCCGACTGCCTTCAACTCAGAATTCTATCCCCTGACTTTAATTTTTGAAACGCAGACAGACTTCTCCTTTTCGCTTCATTTCCCTCTTCTTCTTCCTGTTGCTCTCTCTCTATAACGGCTTGCCGTTACTCTCACAAGAGCAAGCATAGATCCCGCAAAATCATACGATTTTGCCTATGCTTGCTAGAGCAAAAGGAAAAAAAAAAGGAGTACCGCAAAATCATACGATTCTGCCTGTACTTGCAAAAGCAAAAAAAAAGGGTACCGCAAAATCATACGATTTTGACTGTACTTGCAAAAGCAAGCAATGGTACCGCAAAATCATACGATTTTGACTGTACTTGCGAATAAGGAGATCAGAAAAGAAAAAAGAAAACAAAATAATAAACACATATACCGCAAGATCATGCGATTTACTAGCGGTACCACAAAATCGCATGATTTTGTCTAACGGCATGCCGTTATTGCTCCGCTTGCGGTTGACACAGACCGACAGACACCCTACCCAAGGTTTGTTCGCGGCCGTTACAAATGTTTCGCAACAATGTTAAGCATTTGGCATATGTTTCATTCTCATTGCAAACGTTCTCTTTCGTATGTTTGTGCATAAATAAATGTAAATATATAAATATATAAAAATAAAAATTGATACAGACGAAGTGAGTAAAAACATACACTGTACTCTGAGGTTCGTGGGATAACAGACACCATACTTTGATTTTAAAAGCAAAGAAATGTGAGAAGAGAGAAAATAAATGCACTACACTCTATTATGTTCGAGAAATAATAGCAAAATTTTTATGAAACTTATTTTTGATAATATAGAATTCTTTACTTTTATTTTCTATTTATATATACGTATATTCATGTATATATATATATGTAAATAATATGTGAACTTCATCATATTCCTACTTTACCTGTTTCATACAACCATAACTAATTTTGTGTAATCACCAGAAAAAGACGATACATTACAGTTTGCCTGCATTTTCTGTTTCAAGTTCACATTTTATTTATATATGTATATATATAGATATAGATATATATATAACAATTGGCTCACGTTTTGTTTCACGCCAGCATAACTCTGTAATGTAGCTGCTTGTATACTTTTTGTATACTTTGAAAATTTAGCATTCTATAATCTAAACAGAAATAATGATCAAAAACAATGTGCAAAAACAATGTTCTGGAACAGTATGAAAAAATTGATATATATTTCGTTCTCATTGCAAATGTACCTATGCATACGTTGTGTACAAAGTAATGTATATAAAGGCATTTATTGCTGTAACAATTGATACAGAAGAAGAGAGAAAATATATAAACGGTACTCTATGAAATTTATGAGAAAGCGACTAAAGGCAGCAGATGCATGTGCTTTTAAAAGCAAAGATATATATATGACAATATTTACTGAGAAAAATATTTTTTGGATAATATAGAAATCTTTTATGTTTATTTTTTATTTATATATACATTGTCATGAGACTCGATACTTTTATTGCCGGTTGAGTATATATCTTTTCCTGACAAAGAAATAAAATAATAAAAAAAAAAAATGAAAACGTCCCGTCGGTTGTCTACCGTCCGTCTGTTCACCGTAAGTTAGTAGCCCTACATATGCACACCCCCCCTTTCGTCTTTCAGCTACAGCGGCGGCAGCTGTAACGCTTAGCCACTCATCGGGGACACAAAAAAGAAAAGGGAATTAAACAAACTAAAATAACTTACAATACTTGATGCGATCGGTGTTGAGGCGAGGTCGGTTGCGATAGTTGCTACACCGGCGGTTCCTGTTCACAGCAAGGAAGTAGGAAGTTCGTTTTAAGTAGTCAGCACAATCACAACACAGCTGGGATGTAGGTGCATGGGGGTGCACGTAATTCATAAGCTACTGAAACTGGAAAATTATCCTTCTTCCTTTTAACGCAACTTGACTGAAGTAAACACATTGATCCTTTTTTTTTTTATTTAGTTTCCTTTTTATTTTTTTTTTCTTCCTATCCTTTTTTTTCTTTTAACAGGTAGTGACGTCAACAAAAACTTCGAGTTTTCCACACTAACGTTTAAGAAAGAATTTATTTCGGTAAGAATTTATAAATTACTGGAGTATTCCTTTTTCTCCTCGTTTTTCATAATCTACCAAACGCACTTGGCTTTTTGTTCATGGTGATTTGAAGAATCATGCTATTTTATCAAAAAAAACTTGTGATTATTTTCCTTTTTGGATCGTTGGATTAAAACCCTTTTTTTTTCTTTTTTTTCTTCTATAATTTATTAAACGCACGCATACAAGGTAAAAATGTAATAATAGTTCAGGTGCACATCAGTACTACAATCATGAAATCTAAGTAGACATTTTTGTTTCACGACTAAAGGTTACAATTTAAGCAACTATTTCTGTTTCTTGAACAAAATTTAAAATGTAATAACAATTTCAATGCACATCAGTGTTACAGCAATGAAGTTTAAGTAGCCATTTTTGTTTCACAATCAAAAGTTAAAATTTAAGCAAATATTTCTGTTTCTCGAATAAAATTTACAGCGCACACTTGCTATTGCTTGCTCCTCGTTGTTAATTGCATTTTTGTACTTTTCCCCCTTTTTTTTTTTTGTCTAATAATTGAAGATACAACTCGCGGACACGTCCGCACTCTGCCAGCTTCAAAGTTGTTCTCCCCTCTATCTTGAAAATGAAAAACAGACAAACTTCTCGTTCTTACTCAATTTCCCTCTTCTTCTTCCTGTTGCTCTCTCTATAGCGGCTTGCCGCTACTCTCACAAAAGCAAGCATAGGCAAAATCGTATGATGATTTTGCGTTACCCCTTTTTTTTCCTTTTGCTTTTGCAAGCATAGGCAAAATCATACGATTTTGCGGTACCCCTTTTTTTTCCTTTTGCTTTTGCAAGCATAGCCTGTACTTGTAAACAAGGAAATCAGAGAAGAACAAAATAAACAAGTCCCGCAAGATCATGCGATTTATTAGCGGTTCCACAAAATCGCATGATTTCGTCTAACGGCATGCCGTTATTCCGCTCCTGGCGGTTGACACCGACCGACAGACACCCTACCCAAGGTTTGTTCGCGGCCGTTACAACATACATGCATAATAGTAATATGTGAACCGTCTAATTTCTCTAGATTTTCTGTTTCAAGCAAGCGTAGTTGAATATCATCAGAAAGATATGATATATGTGTATTACCTACGTTGTGCGCTATAAAGGAAAACTGTAGCTACAAATGCGTGCAATTTTCCACACCACCCAAGAGGTATTACACTAGGCGCGTTAGCAGTTATTATAAATGGCTGCTTCCCCGAAAATATGTCAGGCCTATGTACCATTAATAATACAATAAAAATAAATAAAAAAAAATAATTACAATTACTAAGTAATAATAACAATAGTTAAGCAAAATTGTAATACAATAAATATATAAATAATGAAAATAACAAAATACATAAAATAAGAAAATATAACAAAGTACATTATGTAATAAATAATATGTTAACGTAATAGTAACAAAAAAAAAATACCGAACGCAAGAACATTTTTGGTTTAGAAATATTACAGCAAAGGGCGAATTCAAAGAACCCTATAAAGATTTTTAACAATTATTGTTACATAAAGTACAAAAATTTTTCCATTCTTTATAGTAATCGCCAATACATCTCTTACAAATAACTCTATAACACTTGCTACATTGCTTTTCAGTTTCGTCAACTGTGTAACAGTGAAGACAATCATATGTTAATTCTTCACTGTATTGCAAAATTTTGTCCTTCATCTGTTTTCTGTAATCAGACGGACGCGCCAAGTCTATTAGAGCTTCATTTTTTACAATTCTTTCTAAGAATTGACATACAAACACTCCGCAGTTCGTCTTGTCATTTTTTAGATTTTGTAAATCATGCTCTTCCGTTCTTGCTATCCACATATTATTTACTTTGTTGTTCTCTATTGCTTTAAATTTATTAAATAAAACCGATAAAATTGCCTCTGCATTGCCTACCGGATCAATATATATAAAAGTTTGAGAAGAGGTATCTATATACGCAAATGTAAAATGGCTATTGTGGAGAATAGGTATAACTATTATTTTATATTGCAGTAAGGTTTGTTTAAATTTTTCATTGAGGTCAGAGTTGTCGCCGAAAAATATTAACGCTCCTTCCATACAACTGAAACAATATACACTGTTAATTTTATTATCATATATAATAATGTGTAGATATAATTCCAACACATTATTATATAATTCTTGTTTATTATCCAAGCATAATATATCATTTAACTCTATATGTGTTAAAAATGGCCTCTTCTCACTAGTGTAAATTGTTTCAAATATATAATTATACTTCTCCACAATAACCCGCTTTGATTTTAAAAGTCTATTTACTTTCGAAAAGCATTCGTCCGATGTATAATTCTTGAATATTTTTTGCGATAGCATGAAGTGAGCATGTTTTACGTTCTTAATTTTTTTTGGGGTACGTTTCCATTTGTCTTCGAGTAATATTTCTGTATTTTTCAATTGTGTCCCATGCAAAACTTTTCCTTCAACGTGCTTCAAGTTTATTTCCTCTGTCTTTGCTTTTATATATTTGTACGACTCTCTTACATAGTCGGTGGGTCGTACATTTCTTTCGCCAGCTAAATTTATATTTTTAACTATTGAAAAATAACCTTCCACTGGACTGTTGGAAGCGGGCTTTTTAGAATCTATGTATGTGCCCATTAAATTCGTCCATAAGGGAGCGTAAGCGATATATTTTTTCAATAAAATATCCGCGAAATTCGGATTGTAAAGAGGATTTTTATTTTTATGAGAACATTTATTAGTGACTATTTCACTTTTTACTTGGGTATATATATCGTTACCTCTTTTGTGAAAATCACTTTGGGAATACGTTGGTTGTTTTACGTAAAATTTACTTTTATCGTCGGTGTCATAATTGTCACCGAAAGAAGAGACTCCCTCATCGCAGCCCATTAAAAGGTTTTTTTTTCAACTTATTAAGGTGGCATATTGTGTAGTTATTTTAATATTCGCTACAGAGTACAATCAAAAAACTTGTAACCCATTGGAAGAACAGTTCTATATTAGAACAATACATTGCGGTTATCATTTGAACTTGTGTTCAGACTCATTAAAATGATTTTCTGCATCCTTATACAGAATCCGGATAATATGATTTGTACATAACTGTAATATAAGAAAGGACGGTTTGCCTAGTTTTTGGTCTAAGTTTTTGAAGCAAGCATTAATATATATTGGCAATTCCATATTACAAAAAACCCATAAGATGGCAGTTATTAAAGCCATACTCCAATCGGATATAATTCGTTGACAAATTGGCCAACGTAAATTATTATCCTTACAAAATGTTTTCACATATATTAAAAATCTTTCTATATCTGTAGAAAAATGCCTACTTAAAAACGACTCGCACAAAGGGAAGAGAATTCCTGTTTCATTCTCTTCTCTTTGTATGTGCGCTATTATAGAGTACATGAAAACCCTTTTAGAATTAAACGAAATTTTCTTTATAACATTCCCTGTTGCATCCATAAAAAGTGTATGCGGATTTAATTTTTGAATTAATGTAAGCTGGCTAAGGGAAAATAAATAAATTTCCAAAGGATAACTTATTTTTTGGATATAATCGGACCAATTTTTATCTTGCAGCATTAAGTAGAGGTCTATGAAAGGATCGGAATGTCTGGCCTTCTCATTTTTGGCTTCCGATCTTATTTTTCGAATGACTTGTGAAGATGGGACCGCGACTTGTCCCACTTGTCTTAACTCTTTACTTTGTTTGCACAAGTATACATCCCTCCACTTAGCTGCCTTTTGATCGTTTAATGTCATTTTTGCGATGTTTCGCTGTTTACCACGAACTTGCGGAATTTTGTATTCTAATACCGGATGTGTAACATTTTCGCAATTCGAAAACACAACAGGGGCTTATAAACGATTTTATATTTCTTACACCCGTTATAAAAATATATGCATTTAGCATAGATACATAATTTAAAATTGGTGGAATTCCAATTCTGGCTAGTGTAAGTGATAGAGCAAACATTATTGACTAATGCGAATTTGCGCCTAATCAAGTCCTTGGCGTATACGAAGAACTGTTTTTGTCCAGAAAATGTTGGTTCATTAAGAAAATTCTCCTGCATGAAAACGGTTTCATACCTTGTAAATGTTACCGTACCTTCGCGGTATTTGAAAGTGCTTCGCTGTAGCGAGGAACATAATGTCCCCGAAATCACCTATTTGTTTGGTGTTTTTGGGGGTTTAATTTTTTCGCAGATCAGTTTATATTCCTCGTCTATGGAGTAGTTTACTGTTGTAAGAGATTGGTGAAAGTATTCCAAGTCCAAGGTGTTGACAATAGCAGCATATCGTTTTAAATTTTAATCCCATCATATACCCGCAGGCATACTTGACTATTTTGAGCGGGCTCCTCCCGTAGCTCCCAGTTTAGACTACAAAGCCTTAGGCATACTTTACGCAGCTGAAAATCAGACAACGTTTGCCTTTGGATTCACCATACAGTCTCCGGCTAGCCAATTCCGGACTACCCCTTCCTCAAGATATATAGTCTTCGGGATTGCACTGACATGGTAGAGGGCGAACTACCATGCACTCACTAAATTACTCCTGCGTATTTTTACTTAACCAGTTACCAGCTGGTTTTTGGTTAGAATTTCCTTAGTAGTAACTAGCTTCTTGAGTAAAGAGTTAATCTTTTAGTGAACCCCTACACCATTTTTCGGAAAACTCGTCGCCGAGTTATAAGTAGTCAAAGCCTTAAATCCTTCTTCGGCGGCCGAAGCCGTTGCCTGGGGATCACCACAAAGAGGTGAGGTTTTAGGCACATCCGGTTTGGTGGTACAGATGTCTCCGAGGGTTTAACGTGGGTACACTACCGTGAAGGTTTAACCCCACGGTGCCCGATGGCACACGGAGTGTGAAACACTCGAACTCCCCGAGGTTAATAATCCTCGCAACATATGGTGCCGAAATCGGCGCCCACGTTGCCATGAGGAATATTAAGTTCCCGAGTGCCAGACGAGATACGTTATGGTCGCATCTCCCCTCTGGTGAGGGCGAGGCCTACCTAAAACCTCTGCCTTTCTGTGGGTAAGGCACCCGGTTGCAATGCAACTCCACACCGAGCAAGAAGCTCTTCCCGCGATTTTTGGGCCAACCACAGCCACCACGAAACTCCCGCTATGGGCCGTTCCCATTGTCAGGCCAAAGCTAGAGGAAGTGCTTTGGGGGCTCCTGACGCCCGTGGTACCGGAATTAAGGAGAAAATTTGGAAAATAATTTATAAAAGTCTCCGGTCGGACTTTCTAGGTCCCATAAGACCCGCACTCGGTATGAGATAGTCATTTGAAGGAAAACCAGTCTATACCATGCGCATGGGCATGGTATTCTCACTGGGCGGAGCGAGGCCTATCTCAACCTCTTGGGAAAAAATTATAGTGGACAGAGTCCGAAGGCCGAGTGTACAACAATAGCGATTTAGGGAA